ACATCAAAGTGACACCAATTCATTCCAATGAGCTTTTAATCCATTAACCCATTCATGAACTTGTTGATACTTAGACTCTAAATACACATTTGAGACCTCATAAGGTGTTGAAAGTTTTACATGTTGGTCAATTTTTGCTACCACAGAAATCAAATTATGCAATCATAGAGAATTTGTTAACTGAAAAGGAAGTGGATCATATATCAAAAATTTTGATACTGATTCACCCATCTTTTTTCTTAATGTCTTTAAAAATGAATCACTTACTTTTAGTTACCTTGAACTCTTACTTCTAACTAATTCAAGTATAGCTCTCCTTAATGAAAATTCAAACTCATTTGGAGTTGATTTCTTTGTTCTTTCTTCAAAATATTCAGCAACTGAGCCATGAGAGCTTCGTCCATCTTCATATATGTTACTCTAACTACTAGTTGTTTGTCTGAATTCTAGTCTTTTGTGCCACCTATATTATGATTGGATACTATCTCGTACGGTTTGTCTAGTAGCGATGTCTTCATCAATAAATCATTCATAATCATCTTTCCCTCTTAATTGTGATAAAGAAATTTTTTCTCTTTTTGTTGTCAATTTTTTTTTATTTGCTTTCTAGAAGGAGTTTTATCATACTTTCTCTTACTATACATATTAATAATATAGTTAAAAAAAAGAAAAAAAAATTAGTTGCACATGCTTATGTAATTTTATAATTTTTATTAAAAAATTAACAATAATATTTTCAAAGGAATTAAAAAAACATAACATACCAGTAACGTTGGGGCATGGTGCAACATTACCAGTTTTATGAGTAATGTGTTCTTTAACACGTGTTATTCCTCCTTTTATAACTTTACCACAAAGTTTATATAAAATATTTCTTATTGTATTTGGCACATGTGTTTCAAAATGCTAACCTTTATCATCATTTGTAGCACTTTTTATTCATTTACTCCAGAACTCTTCACGTGGTGGCATACTTACTATTTTGTATAAAAATAAAATAAACTTATATTTAGAAATATTAATATTACATATTACATCATTAAAAATTGATTTTACGCTAAATTTTTTAATTTTTAGTTTTTAATCGTAAGAATTTATAAAATAATTTAATATTTTTTATACACTAATTGATATAAATTGTTTTATCATAAATAAATTTCAATAATTATATAATAAATATAATATTCAATAATTACACAAAAATAACAAGAATTAATCTAATATCAAAAGAATTGACAACAATATAAATATCAAAATAACAAAAAAATTTATTAAATTTCATATACAAAATTATAAATTAATATCTAACAAAATCAAAATATAATATTTAATTTTAATTAATTTTCGTCTAACTTATACAAAAAAATTTATTAAAAATTTTCATCTAAAATCTCTATATATATCATATTAAATTATTAATCTTTTAATTTTTTTTAATTATAAATCTTCAATCCCTCTAATTAGATTTTATCTAAAAATATATTCAAAAATTAAAATTTTCAAACTTATATTTTAATAAAATTTTCAAACCTATATTTTTTATTTTTTAGTTTTTAATCTTAATAAGAGTAATAGATCATAAAATGTTAAATTTATTAAGTAACTTAATCTTTTTGATACACTAATTGATATAAATTTTTTATCACAAATAACTTTCAATAATTATATAATAAACACAATCTTTAATAATTACACAAAAATAACAAGAATTAATCTAATATCAAAAGAATTGACAATAATATAAATATCAAAACAACAAAAAAATATTAAAATTCAGATACAAACTTATAAATTAATATATAACACAATCAAAATATAATATTTAATTTTAATTATTTTTCATCTAACTTATACAAAAAAATTTATCAAAATTTTTCATCTAAAATCTCTATATATATTATATTAAATTATTAATCTCTTTTTTTTTAATTATAAATTTTCAAAGCCACTAATTAAATTTTATGTAAAAAAATTTCAAAAATTAAATATAAAATTAAATAAAAAATTCAATCTCACTCTTTTAACACCCCACCACACCCAATACCTCCCCACTTCCCAACGCCCCAACCTATCCAATCCCTCCCCAACGCCCTACCACACCCATCCCTCCCCACCTCATCCAATCTCTACTCACGTGCCCAATATCTCCAATTTGTTTAATTCTTTCTAGCATACACTTCTAGAAAGGCACTTGCTCTTTTTGTTCATCTTCTTCTTCGTGCTGCCTTCTAAGCTTGGCTTTTCAGAATTTTCTTCTTCTTTCTTTTTTTTTTTATTTTTCATCTCTCATTTTCTCCCGCATCTTTTTACTATTATCACTTGTCTAGTACCTACGGAATACCTCATTCGTCTTTCTCAAACTCTCACAGCAGACATAATTTTACAAAAAAAAAAAGATAATTTAATTTTTTTTTCTTATCTTATTTAATCTTGAATATTGATTGAAAACTTGAGGCTGATTTGAATTTAGGTGTCGAAGTGCCGATTGAATAGTTAAAACTTGAAATAATTGGTCTATTTTTTAGCTCGTTTTTAGATTTATTTTGATGCTAAAAATATGAGATTCTGAGTTTTATTTTTCACTTTTGCTTTTATTTTTATTTTTGCAGGATTATTGCTTTATTCTGCAGATTTAAAATTTTGTTTTTTTCTTGAATTATTAGATCCGTGAGTAGGAAAACGAAATAGCAGCAATAACGGTACTTTATTGCCCCTATTTTCCGTTACGTCATTATTTTACGATTGTTACTCTTCATTTTTGCTGTGAATAAATTTTTCAACCGTGTTTTATCCAATAACGGTGGCGGGTGGTGGCATTACCACAATTTTGCGGCCACTATTCCGCTATTTGAATCCTAGGATACAGGTCCATTGGAAGCTCCATTGTGGTTTCTTTAGATGTTTTTCATTGATCTCCTTTGTTTTCAACTTCAATACTGATTCCAGTTTTAGCTAAGTATGCAGGAGATTGACCCATTTCGATGTCGACACATTTGTTGAAGAAGTTCTTGTCAAGGATGGTGAGTGGCTGCCTGGAACTCCTGAAAAACTAGAAGGATCATTTGTTTTTGTTTGTTCTCATGGATCCCAAAATATCCACTGTGGAGTTTTGGTCCTCCACTGGTTAGCAGATTCAAAGAGGAGATAGAATTGTATGGTCTTCAAGATAGAGTATCTGTTAGCCCATGCTCACACATTGGAGGGCATAAGTATGCGGGAAATGTTATTATATTTGGATCAACTATCAATGGAGAAGTCACAGGACACTGGTAGGAGTGATCTCTCTTCCACTTGATATTTTGCTGAATCCCCCTTTATTTGTTGATTTACATTTTTTTCTTTAATATTTTTTGCAGGTATGGGTATGTTACTCGAGATTACGTACCTACGCTACTCGAGTCGCACATCGAGAAGGGAGAAATTATAGACTTGCTGTGGAGGTGACTTTCTGGCATCAACTTGCTTCTGTATTATATCAACCCTTCTTTTGGTGTCGGTTTCATGTGTATAGTAGAATATAAGAGGATTATATTTTTCATATAGACACAAATTGTGAAATATAATTTTCATGTAAAACATGATACGAATAGATGAATTGTCAAATCTGCAAGAAAGCACACTCAAAACCTTGGCTATATTCTTACCAAACAAAGATTCTGATTTTAGTCATAGAATTTAACATGCTTACCATGTATTAATAGACATTTAAATGCTTATTTCAGGGGTCAGATGGGTTTATCAGAGGAAGAACGGAAGAAATTTCAAGAACAAAGGCGCCTGGTAAATGGTGAGACAACTATCGAAGGAAGCACTGAAGAGGCAACACAAACACAAATGGAAGAGGCAAACACAACTGCCTGTAGGTCTCAAGATGAGCCTGTAAGCTGTTGCCCGGAAAATGGCAGTGTTTCTTGTTGTCATGACCCTGCACTACCTGAAAAATTGGATATTCTGGCTGATGGCGAAGGGGAAGTAAAGTTGACACCTGAAAAGAAAAAAGGCAACAGGAAACTTATTCGGAAGATCACTACCGGCAAGGGTCCTGCTGTGCGGAAGGTTTTTGCTAAGCCAGCATGGTTTGAGAGCTGGGAGCTGGAGGATACATATGCTGCTCTCGCTGTTGTTTGTGCTGCTGCATCAATTGCTGTTGCTTATAGCTGCTACAACAACTATGTTAGAAATGTGATATGATATTTTCATTGTTTATATTAATGTGATGTTTTTGGAGTATTCTCTCATCCATCTCGAGTTTGATGTGCAAAGTACATGAGCATGGGTGTTTGAGTTCTTCATTCTGCTATTTGATGTGCTAAAAATATAATGTTCGATTACCGGCACAAATTTGACATAATAAGTTTTCTATGTTTTATGCATTTTTGATATGATACGAACATAATACAAATAAATGAATTGTCGAATCCACAGCAAATAATGATAATCTTAGACAACTTTGAACCATCAAATGAAAGAGTGGGTGGTGCACAAAGCGGTAAATACCCCATCAATGTATGTTATCATCAACAAATTATCTATCTTATGGAAGCTGATACACCAACACATGGCCAACAACCTTTTCAAGCAGCAACTGCGTTCAAGAAACATTCAGAAGATGCTGACAAGAAATTTATTCAACGCAATGAGGACTGGAAGGGTTATGCTTCCTGCAGATTTTTGGAAAAAAAAAAGTGCTATTTTCCACTTTAAGGACACCTTAAGAGTATAAATGTACTGATAACAATGACAAACTCTAATTCAACTTGAAATTCATTATTTAAAACTCCGACTTTGATCAATTTTAAATTTTTAAATTTGAATCAACTCTAAATAAAAATAAAATTTCTTTCAATTAAATTTGTTTACCAAATTAAAAAAAAAAAGTAAATTCTTATGCTCAACTTTAATCCCTATTATTTGTGTGCAAACTCAATCTCAACTTAATATATATAAAAATAAAATAATAATTTTTTAATTAAAATATATATTAAAATATAAAACTCCATCAAATTCGCTAATTACTCAAATCAAACATTAAAATACTCAAACTCAACTCGCTAAATAAATTAAATTACTCAAACTTCTCAATAATAATCGAACCAAGTCTGAATAGCTTGCAAGCACGGATGTATTAGATATACCTCTAGGTGGGGTATGAAGTTACACCAGATTTGTTGCCTACCAAACCTGCATCAAGCTGATGCAAGAAAACTCTGCTATTATATTTGATAACTAAAATGCATGGCCTCTCACTCGAATGTAGATGAGCCTTTGGCCGTCAAGTGCTGACTTTTCATATCATATTGGCAACAAATATGTAATCAATATGTCTAAAATTAATCACCATCTACTTTAAGACCATTTAATGAGTTGCATAGACCATTCTGATCTGCAAGCCTGTTGAACTCAGATTCGATAGTCTTTGCAATTTTGGTACCTTCTGGATCAGGCTCCGGAAAATCTACATGAACTGACCCCTGTTTGATCGGCAAACCAGTCGCTGTAAGCGTAGCTTGCTGCTTTATGTAATTGTAAAGCTGTTGATGGAAGGTATGCTCCAATGAGAAACAATTATCTATGGCTACATTGCTGCTGTGACGCGAGGATCCAGAACCTTCTTTTCGACAAAAATGTGGGAGGGAGGAATAATCCATTATCTGCATAGTTGGAACGAACATGTCAGAAATCAAAACAAACAAAAACATGATTCAGAAAAATGCATCTATATATACAAAGGATGGCGAGAATGAGCTTAATGCCTTATGCCACAAAATTACACAAGATAACCAATTGAACGATGAACACCTCATTCATTGCATTATCCATAGTGATTAATAGGAACTACCAAGAGAACCAATTCAATGAAGCTATCTTTTCCTGCATCAGATTAAAAACATACATAAAGCTTTAACATCCCAATCTCGGGACATTATGAATATCTACTATAGTATATATGTAATGACTTAAACTCATACTTATGAAGCGTCTTTTGTGAGATAAAATCGTAAAACTTTTAGGTAAAAGCGGACCATATCTCGTTAGTTGGGTGTGGGATTCCTTAATAAGTATTAGAGCAATCACTAGCCAAAAACTGTATTACTTGACGTGGACGTCAAGCTTTAACAAGGGAGTTTAAAATTCCCCAATCCCACGATATTATAAGGAGCCGCTAAAGCATATATCTAAAGACTTAAATCTATACTTGTAAGGTGTCTTTTGTGGAACAAAACTGTGAGACCTTTAGGTCAAAACTGATAATACCTCATCAGTTTTGTAAAATAAAGGGACTAATTATCTAAAAAGTTGAAAGCAAACTATAGACTTACTACACTCTTCATATTATGGAAGCATAATGTTAAACAATAATGGCCTTTCCAATCAACGTAGCATTTTAACAAGAGAGCAAAGAAAGTGGATTCAAAAGAACAAGAAGCTATTGCTGATATTTGAAAAGGAAAACATGCTTTCAAGTAAGTCCTACAAACATGGAGGGATGGATTTTCTTACTTTCAGTAACTCATCCCTTCCACAACCTTGAAGCACCTGAATTTTTCTCTTCGTCCTTTCTTGCACAAGAGGTTTTACAGTCTGTCAACATTTGCAGAAAAGCATTAGGTTTCTCTTTTGTATGAGTTAGCTGAGAGAAATAGGGAATTACGAAAAAGTAAAAACCTTCCAACATGCTGAAAATATGTATGGCACATTGACAATATAGTATGTTGCTGTCTTCTCGGGATAATTCAAGTCATCAATTTTTGCTATTGTAGTCAATAGCTGCATTAGCAAACAGCATATGAGACTAAGGAGAACAAGAAAAGATAAATCACTACATAAAGATCAAATTACATGTGAAATCAGGTGGCGACTATGCTGAGAAAGAGAAATGCAGTTAAAGTGATAGTAAGAAAGAAGGTTATGTGATCATAAAATGCACCTTTATTTGGTTCAATGCTGAAAGCTTCAAGCCAGTCATATCCAAAACCTTCACACATTTGCTAATATGCTGTCCATACTTTTCTGTGGCCGTAGGCTATAACAAAAGCAACATGTTAGAATACATAAAAAGTTAGTAAGCAAGTATACAAGTAAGAAACACCCATTGGCAGAGTCTGCGCTCACCAATACTACACGATCTCTATATTCGTTCATTTGAATGTGTGACTGTACATAGTAATTCACCTAGAAAACAAAACAATTACAAATTTAAGTACCACAGAAATAACTCCATGCACTGAAAGTTGAACTACATACATACACCTTTGAGTGCTAAAAGAATGTGGGATGATTGTATGTCACGGCCATTTTCAAGGAGAAAATGGAAAAAACTGTCAAGTACCTCATGCCCTCAATTAAACTCTTGAATCTTTTGCGTCTAAAAATAGAACACAACTTGCTTTGTCCCAATATGTTATACTAGACACAAGTTAATTTTTGCAGAAAAGCATATTGCTACTTAAAAGCTCAATAGCAAGTCTTTCAATGATTTCTTTCAACTGCAGTTTCAAACATCAAACCAGATTCTACAGGCTGAAATGCCAAATTTAAAAATAGAAGAAGTTATGATGTCCTTACAGATGCTTTATCATATGTGCTGAGCCCAGCACCGATAGCAATGACAGGAAGACCCTGGAAATGTAAGAAGGCATGAGGTGGTTAATCACCAAGGAAGCACTTTTGAATGTAACAAAAGCTACATATTGTCACAGCAAAACAAATACGAGTTACCAAATCCACAAGTAGGACAATCACAATATCAAGATAAACCCTAATGAAATAGGTAAACACCTCTTTTGAGTAACCCGACAATCCTACAAGATGAGAATCTCGTACTGCTCTATACAAGTCAGTGGGAATAATTGGTTTCTACATAATGAAAAAAGAAAAATGAGTTGTCAGAAAAGTCATCAATTGCCACAATAAATCATGCTGTTGCAACAGCATGGTTTTGAAATATCATAAACCGAAAAATATTAGGAATCAATTAGTGTATAATGGAAAAACTCACTGCTAATATGTTGTCAATCTCATTCTGTAGTCTCCATTGCAAGCAATCAATTAACTGGCGCAGACAACAAATTAGGAATTAATAAACAGAAAAAAATGAGATCTTTGATGCACAAAATTTTGTTTTACTTTAAGTGCACCATATGAATCTCACCATTTTATGAGCTTTCTGAACGTTCCAGTCTCTTGCCTTGAGAAACCGCACTAAAGGTTCAGTTGGATACCCATTGTGCATGTTCTGCAGACCAAGGTATTCAGCTTAAACTTAAACTTTGGCAGATCATAATATAAAATATGTATATAAACATGCTGTATTCATCCACATAATATACTGCAGCAATACAAACAGGGAACACAAGTCATGTCAGGGGAAGATCATTACAAAGAACTTAATTCCTTCAGAACACCTCAAATGTCAATATAAAATAGGGTTAATGGGAAAGAAAATCCTATGTTAAGCATTTTCTTTATCTACACACCGCACTTTGCTCCATATACTTTGTGACACTAGTAAAATTTTCATTTCCCAACCGGAGCTTAACTCAATTAGTTCATGCAATCACCTTTAAAAGGTGACATCCGGTAAGTCTGAAGTTCAAATCCCAACACCTGCAATCCCTTCTCCTATCCCCAAGCTGTGGCCTCCTATGTACCAAAAAAAAAAAATTTTCATTTCCTGCTTGTATAGTTAATATCAAATCTACAAATCATTCATGATGGTCTTACAATTCAACTGTACCACCTCACCGTTAAATGATCACTAACAAGCTAGCATCCTGTTTCAGTAACTAATCAAAAAGACCAAACCAGCAAGTGCCAACTAAGCTTTTCTGTAACTCTTTGCCAAGTTTCACAACTATGCAGCTACCCCAGAAACTAGTAAAACATTGAGAAAGGGACAGTTACAAACTGAATCAACTACAACTTCACTGAACCAAAAAGGTTACAACTGAGATAAATCAAGCAAGAGATAGACCAGAAGCAACAAAGAGAAGAAAACTGTTAAACATGAAATTGCAAACAGCCAAGCAGTCAGATCAAGTCCACAGCAGAAATTATAGTAACTAAAGAAATTTAGCAAATTGTTACTAAACCTTATCTCAGCATCCAAGAAAAAAATAAATATCCAATAAATTAAAAAAAAAAAACCTGAAATGTTTCCTTCATTCTATCATCAACTGTAAGTCAAATTTCCCAAAAAGAAAATAAAAAAAAAAAAGCAGAATGTTAGTGATTTGCAGATCAAAAGAAAACCAAAAAAGAAAATATATAAAAAAAAAATCATTCCTTTATACTTAAATCCCACCATTTTCCATCAAAGACAGAAATTGCTTGATAACTTCTTGATGAGCATTGCTCATTTTCTCTTTCTTCTTCTCTTTGCTTTCTCACAAACAAGATATAATGTTAAGAACAAATTTTGATAGCAAAAACTAAAGACAGAAGCTTTATTTCTCTTTAATTTCTCCTTTTTGCTCTCTTTAAGGCAAGTTTGAAAATTTAAGCTTAAGAATAAAAAAGAAATAGCGAAAAATTATTAAAAAAAAAAAAAAAGGCAACAACTTTTAGAGGGAGAGAGAAAAAAATTTATAAAAATTGAAACTTTATTGAAACTGGGTGCCTTTTCTTCTTTTTATTACCATACATAGCTTTTTAGGCTAGGATAGCAGGTTAAAAATGTCAAGAACTTGAATTTTTTATTTTTTTAAATAAATTTTATGTTTAATGTATCTATCTGAAATAAAATATCAAAATTTATATATTTATATAAAAATTATATATTATAATTAATATTTATATAAAAATAAAAAATATTTTATTTAATTAAATTTATATATAATTATTATTAAAATTTTAAATTATATTTATTTTATGTTTAATTTTTATATCATATATAAATTATATAAATTTATCATATTTTAAATTACTAAACTACCCTTGATAGACATGAAAGGGCATGTGGTCCCATGCTACTTGTTTCTTATTCAACCTTGAATAAATGGCAGGCTCTTTACCTCAACAAATGGGTGATAAAGGTTTTTCCTTAATTATCAATAAAATTTATTAATTATTCCTTACCTTAGTTTGAAGTACCCTTTCTTGTTACCATCTTTGATTTGATTTTATCACAAACAAATAAGAATGGTAATATTCTAAGCCCATGGAAGCATAAAGTTGATTCACATTGATACCTATTTATCACTTACCAATTCATTTGATGGATCAACTTCCAACTTTTTCTTTTCTTTTTAAACATTAAACAGCACATCTAAATATATTAATAAAAATTATTAAATATATAAATAATGTAAAGAATAACAAGGTGACATATATTTTTCAAAATAGATTTAAAAAATTAAAAAATTATAAATGTGCCATCCTATTAAACTTATTTGTAAAGTTAAAAAAATTTCATTAATAGTATACCAAATAATTTTTCATATATTTAATGCTATCAACTTTTTAAAAAGACTTTGATAAATGATTGTTATTAAAGATAAGATGAAAACGGATTAGACCGAGATTGTTTATCTTTGTTCGATTTTGATTGAATTTTTTAATATTTATATTTGATTATGTTTTTGTTTGATATCATATTATTATTTTTCATATTCTATATTGATTCGACATATATATAATTCAAATTCAATTTGAAGTGATTATAAATTAATTCAATGATATTAATTTAATATAATATTTATAAAAATATTATTTTTAATATAAATTATATTTTAATTATAAATAAATATAATATTTTTATTAAATTAATTCTAAACTAAACATGTTAAATCTACTTTCGATCTTAAGTCTAATGTATTTTAAAAATCTCTTTTCCCTTATTTAATCTGATTTAAAAATAAAAATCCGTCAAATAAAAGATGGTTTTGCTATCCCTAATCAAAACTTCCGACCCTTAATAATTCTTGGTCAATAGGGTGATATTTTCCATGTAGGTTGAAGAACTTGAACAGAAAAGAAACATAAATTTTTATGTCCAAAATTTCTCAATGGGACGAAATATTTGACCTTAGACCTATCAAATGTCTCCATTTTTAAAAGGGTTGAAACTATTGACCAAGTTCCCTAAGATCAACCAAGTCCGTGTGGACTAAACTGGTAGCCTTGAAGGTTTCTTCAGCACTAAAATTTGATAACAAAATCCAGTCAAATCACCGCAAGGATCAATTCAATTGTGAAATGAAGAAATTCTCTGGTTTTTTTTTTTATTTAGCGGTAAAGAAATTTTAAATTTCATTCAAAATATATTTTTAAATATTATCCAAATAAATTTCTTTTACATCAAATTTAATGAATTTATAAAAAAATTATCTTTGTTTGACAATGAAAATTCGATTTTAAATACACTAAATTAATACGAAAAAGTATACTTTTTAAATCGTTCAAGAAAGAATTAGGTTTAAACAAAATGTTACCTGTGTTGGTTTGCCAAGTTAAGTAATGTTGAGAACAAAAAAAAAAAAAAAAAAGCCTAAAGCAATCAAAAGGTGTAAAGCTAAAGTTTAGTGGAAAACTTTGGTGGGTATAGAGGATAAAATGCTCTTCATTCTTCACCTTTTTTCCATTAAGTTTCTTTGAAGTTTCGTTCATATATGTTTTTTTTAAATGTTTTTTCTCCTTTGAAAACATTTTTTGTTCTGCCAAACAAGAGAGAGGCACGTGGGAATCAGACTAGATTTGGGAATCAAACTGTTATGTTCATGTGTGTGTTCCAAATGTATTAGATTTGAGTTTCATGTTCTCCACCAGTATCTTTTTTTATGGATAAAATATAAACAAATTGAATATAAATAAATTTTGTTATATTTGTAATTTATTTGTCTAATTAATAATTTATAAAATATTATTCATAATCATTTGTCAAGCTTAATAAATGAATATAAATAAACAAAAATTAATTCTATTGATGAATTATTCATCAAACGCTTTGTTAATTTTTACAAATGAATCAAACATAAATGAATTTTGCTATATTTGTAATCTATTTGTTTAATTAATAAACTTTGAAATATTGTTATTAATTGTTTGTTAAACTTAACAAATGAATAAAAATTGAACATGTTCGTAAATTGTTTATCAAATATTTTATTCATTACATCTTTACATTAAGGGGGCGTTTCGTTCGGGAGAATATGAGATTTCTCACATTTGGTTTTACAAGTATCTGATTCCTAAAATAATTTTATATTCCCAACAATATTCAAAAGTCTCGGAATTAAAAACTCATATCTTCTTATACTTTTTTAAGATTTTGAGAAAAAAGCTACTTTTGTCTCACATTTAACCTGAATAAAAAATATTTTCTTTTTATTTTACTTTTTTGAAACTCAATGGTAACTAACCTAAATTTTTTTTTTTTTTACAAACAAATAGCATAAATATTACTTTTGTTGGAAGCTTAACGTAGTATTTGAGTAGTAAATTTTTTTTAGTAGTATTTTTTTTACCACTTAAATACTATGTATCTTTGCTTTAAAAAGCAATAATTGTTGTTATTTACTACATTTATTTTAACAAAAATGTAGTATTTGATTTGTACTTAATTTTCTTTATATTTTTCCCATCAAATAATACGTTTTCAGGGTTTATAATGCAATATTTGTTATTAATTACTGCATTTCTTTGAACAAAAACACAGTATTTGATAACTTTTATATTTTTTGAAAAATTTTCCACTTTAATATTACGATTGGATGCTTTGGAACATAGTAATAGCTATCAAATACTATGATAGGACGCGTTATAATGCAATAAATGTGGTTATTTACTACATTTATATTCAAGAAAATACAGTAATTGTTGACTCATGAATTCGATTTTTTTCCCTCTCAAAAACCAAGTTTTTGACACAACTGACATTCTTATATCTAATCAAATAAAAGTTCAATTATTAAAAACAATTATGATGTTTTTGACATAAGAAATGTCATATTTAGAGTTAAACTATGTTGAATAACAAAGATCACTTTTTTTCCTTAGACATTATCGCAAATCTCTAAGCAAAGACTTCTTTGTTTCAACCAACATTAGCCTCAACCTTCGGGCTTTCATCTTTGTGATGTTTAGTTTATCTTTAATTTATCAATAAACGATGTGTCTATTATCTATTACATCATGATCTATTCTATATTATTTATTTGATTCAAATATGTTCTTGTTTTATTTGTTTAGATCTCGTCTAGATCTTGATTGAAAAGATGTACATCTATCATATGTGTTCTTTATTTTGGTTTTAGTTCTTAATCCACAGACGTTTTGTTTTTTTTTTTTTTTAAGTGTCTTAGATTCCATTTATTGAAATGAACATTTTTGCTTTCGACACATATTTTCAATATTAACCAAAATCTTTTTTCCAAACAATTATAACTTGTTTATCACTAAGAAAGAATATGCATTTGATAACAGTGCTTATTTTGTAATTAAACCAAATGGAGACTATGTTAAACCTGTTACTTATTGTTAATATTACCTTAGTTGCAATGAAACTTAGAAAAAGACATAGACTATCTTTTGTTATTAGCAGTTATGATAAGCTATAAATTAGAAAGTTGAACTTAACTACAATGATTTTTTAAAGTGATAGGCAGTGTATAGATAATTGTAGAATGGATAGGAGAGCTTTTGTAAAATAATTGTAGAGCGATAGTTTTTGTATGGAACACATTTTTTTATGTGTATTAATGTTATGACACTAAAATAGGTTATTACTATTTGTGTGATACCGGATACACAAATGGTGAAAAGATTTTTGGCACTTTATATAGGTCAAAAATAACACATGAATGATTGGACGCTAAGACACAAACCAACAACACCCCATGAATACTTTAATATGAAATATTCTCAAGTAAAAAATTGTATCAAGAGATGTTTTAATATATTGAAATCTAGATCGGTAATTTTAAGAGAAAAATCATTTTATCTAATAAAAACATGATGTATAATCATTTTTACTTGTTGTCTTCTTCATAATTTTATTAAGTCTAATATGGTAATTAACCTTATTGAAGTTGATGTTGATGAAGGGAGTAGTAACCAACCAGATCTAAACATTAAGATTTGATTAGGCATGTTGAGCCAAGTGATATTTGGACTCAATTTAGAGATAATCTGACACATGCATACTAGATTCCACAGGTGGGACTATCTGAAGCTGAAAAACCTGTTACATACAAAAATCAAATATTTTAAAATATAATCAAACAACAAAAATCAAATAAAAAATTAAATCCAAAAAAAAAAAATAACGATTACTGAAAAAAGGATTTGCTTAAATACTTTATCCAATAATTCATTTTTGACAAGGTCGATAAAAGACTAACACGAAATTGTGTTAGT